ACAGTTCATTTCAGGTATATATAGGGTATGATACGATAATTTGAATCAAAATCTTGGGAAGAATTCAAAAATTTTGAACAATACAGGGTGTTCTATTGAAAATAACAAAGATGACGTCACTTTCCGGAAAAATCAGAAGCCTGACAATAACGACAATATTTTAGATGCGGATTCTCCATGTTTCTTTCACCGTCCCTACAATTTTTCAGAATCGTGATACTTTTATTTCTCCATATATATAGATCGCGTTAACTCATGAAAATATACCCTGTATAATAGTTAACAGAATTAACTTGAATGATATCAATCCAACTATGAGAACACATGATATGTAGCCAAGAGAATCCAATATTTGCTCCTTATTATCGCTCCTTCCGTTGTAGCCTGGTAACCAATCCCTGCACAGAATTTCAAATTGTTTCAAGGTCGTCCAGATGTCTTGTGATTTGGCATCTGAAAATGAATATGGAAACAATCAATTGATTTCATTTTGCCCATTTCCTGTTGAGAATATCTTATAGAGAGTGAGTATAGAGAACCATAATGAGAGTATTGAAAAATGTTCGAGTCACTTCCATATCTACATGGAGTCGTGTAAGATTGAAATCATTCATGAAAAGATGAAATCACACTGCATACCTACTGTTTTATACCGGGTGACAAAGAAGATAAAGAATAGCTGCGGCGATTTTTTTCCTTCCATTCATAATATTTTGCACTAATTTTGGTCTTAATCAGACTTCCCTAATATATACAATCAGAATATGCATTTTCACTTATACCCTGATGCGAAAATGATATATCTCAACGTATCATTGTAAGTATATTGTCACGAGTAGAACGTACGGTATATTAGTAATTTCGAACCATGAGGGTTTTATGAACATAAAGTAAATCAAATCATCCGTTGACATTGAATTATAAAAACTGACCAAGGAAGTCTCATGAGAAACGTGCATATCTAATAAAATGATGTATATAAATATTGGATGTGAGGGTTCCGAAGTTAGTCTGGTCTGGGGCTACTAGCTCTTGACTTGACAAGAGCTCGTCGTTATGGTCTCTATAATGTAAGTTGTTATTAGGTCTTTATATATTCATTGTTGTTCATTCATATTTATCATCACTTCACCCATAATGTTACGTGTTATAATACATATTGTTTATTGTTATATCTTTGAATATAGTCTCGTACTTTCAGTTACCCCTAAACTATTAGTGCCTATTTGAATATTACCTCTCGCAAACTATTAAGCCAAGCATTACCCCTTATGAATCGATATATGGATGGGCTAACCATCTATCTATCATGACATAGGGGAAACCAACTCCTTCGTTGTGACATGGTGGGAAACGAACCCCATCTATATTGTGACAGTATCATCATAAAGTCTTGAAATGGCGACATAGTGTCGTCTACCCTGTCTTCATTGTCAACCAGTATAGGTATATTATTATAACAAGTTATGAACATTGTAGTTACTTACCCTGTAGATTAGGAACACACCGTATCTTTGATCACAATCATGATTTACGATTAGAAAGAGATGCTTCAGTATGAGCAATAACACCAATAAACACGAATTGCATACTAACGCCGAATGAACTGAAACAACGAAATGAAGGAGACAAAAGCATGCCGTCGCTAAAGAATTTACAGACACGTGTACATCAGTCAGACCGACACCGACCGAGTGTGTACGAATCTGAACAAGTCACATTGTGCGCTACATTCATGAGTATGTGAGTACACTGAGATTTCCAAGTATTGTTGGATATTACTTTCATAAATGAATTTCCTTGAGATGTGATAGAGATTCACAAATTGAAGCATATTTTCGTTTTTTCATTCTGCACAATGTCAATCAGTTTGTCGTTTCAGATACATCAAATTATGACTCTCAACTACTGAAATTTCAGATTCTCAAATTATAGTCTTTGTGAAGTTAATGAGGGGCTTCATAAATATTATATCCATATTGGTCTCGGATCCAACAAAATGTGATGAAACTTGCGAACTAATAATTGTCACACAAGGAATTCCTTGTAGTTATCAGCGATGCAATATTGTGATTCGCTTTTGTGACATCAACTGCCATGAATGCGACATCTCATAGATGTTTGTGTTAACTGGGATGCGCTGTTACAAAGTTATAAAGCAGAAAGATTCAAAAGTTGTGAATTCAGAGCAGTCTAGCGCCCAAACTATAAGAAACTTTGTACTGGGAAAAAACTGTAAAGTAGGTGGTATTATTATTGATATAATGAGATTTTTTATCATCCAGTGGCGTACGGCCCACCACGCGGAGGGGGGGTGGCTCCAAACTTCGTGGGACCCCGACCTTGCCCTTGTTCGCACTCAAAAAATAATTCAGTTCAGTTCCGATCAGAAAGACAATTCCGAAGAAAGAAGGCGTTTTATGGTTAAATTCAAGTTGGTCGTAGACTCTACCCAGATAGCAAAATGTCATTCATAGAACGTTCATAGGAAATTGTTCGAGAATATTTGAATATTCTCAGAGTATTCTCACAATATGATACAAATATTCTAGGCATGTTTTATGAACATTTGGAATGAACTGCTTCAAATATTCTGTGGATATTCCTAGTGTATTGAAGGAGAAGGAAGGGAATTTAAAAAAGCTAGGTCCGGTGGAGATGCGAACCTACTATCTTGTGATCGAATTTTTACGAACCTGAAACCTTAACCACTCATTGCCCCGAACCTTATTGATGAATAAAATGAATAGCAAGATGACAACACTAAATTAGTAGGATGGGGCTAGAGAATAATAGGTTATGTCAGGGTAAACATTATAAATATTGATACAAGAATAGAAACATCAATATCATTTATTCATGCAGAAAGAATATATTCTCAGAAAATTAAAAAAATATGTCAAATTGAATGTTCATAGAATATTCGCTGCAGGACGAGAATATATATTCTACGATCGTTCTGAGAACATTCTATGAGAATATTCTAAAATAAGTATTGTGACGATATTTTTCTTAGAGGGGCTCGAGAAACATTATCAGGAAGACAGGAGTACAACGATCATCCTGTGACACGCATCCCAGATTGTTCTCCAATCTCCCAATAATTTCTATACATGCGCCAGCATATTTCCGAGCACTCAATATATGCCGCGGTGACAAATAACGTGACAAAAGATTCTGTAATGTTCTAGAAACAATCGATGGAACAATTAGAGAGAGTATTGTTCTAACATTGTCGATCTGAATGAAAACCTAATAGGCAACCTAGTGCGAGGAGGTATAATAGCCTACTAACAACCTGACTTGGTTGTTATCTAGAACGACAATGGTTCTAAGAAGCTTCCAGAACAAAAAGAAGTGGACGGAAGATCATTCGAGAACGTTCGAGAAACAAAGCCTACCAAGGGATCTAATACATAAGACGACCAAACAACTGCGTCAGTCAGTCAAGTAGCGAGTGTCAGAGAGACAGTCATATACCGCGTGATTTGAATCGTTTTACATAAATAGTAGTTATAAGTGCGATATGATCGAATTAGTATTTTTTAAGTTAAGAATAAATCAGTTCGAAAGTAAATAGTGTCATGTTCGCTTCTGTACCCAAATAACGTAACAGTAACTGTGCTATATCTGGGTAAGAATATTTTTGGAGAAGATAGAAAGTGGAAATTCCGAAAGTCTCCGAGCTCACAATGTGAGCCAAGTGCAGGGGACGACAAAGAAGATTCCTTTTTTTATTCATTATGAAAAATATCAATTTATTTGAAATAGCTGATGAAAGTGTTTACAAAATCATATCAGTATAGGTTTCTTCCCTGACTTTCATTGTTTTCGAAATATTCGCTAGCGATAATCATGTAAATTTTCAAAAATCGCTTCTTTTTATCCAGCGTATTTTAACGGCTCAATTTTCAAGTTTTTTGTTTCAGTGTCCTGCGTCTTTTCAAGTCTTCGTTTCATTGCAAAAAGTGACTAAAATGGCAGAATCAATTCTTGTAGATTTTGCAAATCATTAGAGCATCTTTGTATCTTCATGACATAATATGCAAATTGATGATATGATAGTTGTAATAGTAATTTTCCTAGCAAGTGCGGAAAGTGATTCTTTCCCGCAAGCAGTCGAGTGCGGGAAAGACACTTGCCGCATGAGTTAGGAACAATATTTTTACTACAAACGTTGTAAATTGATTGATTTGATCAATTAATTATTCATTCATATAGGAACAACTAACAATAAGAGAAATATATTCTCTATCTACTGATTATTAGTAATATCTATTGTGAACTTACAGTTTGACGCATTATGTATAGGTTCATTGCGGAAACCAGCAGGCCCATAAGGTGTTTGGTCTCTAGGTTTCAGACACTTCTAGGGAATGAGCCAAAAATACTTCTTCTTTATTCGATATTTTCATTCTTTATTGTTGCACCATTCATTTAATCGCGTGTATAGCTTCTCATACCTTTCTTAAGACTTCGTTGGCAATAACGCATATTTATCGCATCCCTATAGCTGGAAGTTTTTGATCACATTGTGGCGATTCCACTGAATCGAAAATGACAGTAACGCTGAGTCTGTCACTTCGACAATCACAAACTCATTTGAGGTTTGATTGGCATGACCACAATCGTTTCCCATCAGATCAATCCAAATCTATAGGGGGATTTTTATAATAATCAATTTTTATTTTTCAATATTACTTGATTTTCACAATAAATAGTGCAATTTGATGGATGATTCTGAACATACATACTTAATATTGCAACAAACAAACTCAAACTCTCATATTCCATCACCTACCACTTATATTTTGCTATATTATCATATCTTTGTTTTTCCTGCAATGTTGCGGGAAAATGACACTTCCCAAACTAAATTGCGTGTGGGTATATAGGGTGAATCACGCACGCTTGTAGAAAAAAATAATTGACTATATAATTTATATTATTTCAACTTCATTGATATTCCTTATGAATTGATATAATTCAATATGTTTTTTGCAGACCTTATTTCTCTTCTGGTTGCTGTTCCATCAGTATTATCATCTGGTAAGTCAGTTTCTATTAAAATATGTATATGTAGCACAATTTATAACCATTCTGTCGATGAAGGTCCCACAAAATTATGATTTCTTGCCGATTTTTCTTCGCTCTGACTATTTTCCCAGATAGCAAGAATATATATGCGTTTCTGTTGGGTCAGGTCGTTACCACCGATAAAACAAGGCCTGCATGTTCCGTGGGTGACGTCACTTAGTCAGGCCTAACCAGCGGCTCGAAACGACAAGCGCTTATAGCGCTATAAGGCGACCGCGTATTTCGATTTTAGTTTTAGATCATTATTGAGCCGATTTTGCTTTTTTTTAAGGGCTTCCGGTTGAAAGAGGATGCCAGCCGTCAACTGAGCCCTTCTTCGCATCCCATTCGATTTTATTATGGAAAAACGAAGTTTCAAACCAAAAACCAGAATAAAACACAAATACCTACCTACAGCAACCCATTCGAATTAAATATATTGGCAAAAATTGTAGTGATTCAATCTCGTTAGAGGTAAACTTCACACCTACTTATACAGGGCCCGCAGAACATAAACTTATCATGAGATTGATCGAAAGAAAATTGGGGAAAATGTATTTTAGTTTGATAGACATACCGTTTGTTATACCTAATTACCTATATTTATCTTGGAGAATTCCTATTACCTAAAAAATTAGCCAGTGAGTGTTTTCAATTTCCTGTTGTTGGATTTTTTACCCAATTGGTCGTTAGACTTGAAACAGTAATTTTTAAGTAGAGTGTTTGTAGTACATGTTAATATAATAGTTGCAATTTGATCATTGGAATGAATTCTGCATTCATTGCCACGAGGCAAATGAACGTTTTCAGAAAGAAATTTGAGAATGTATTGAGTCAGAAACCAAAGAGTCCAATGCATTCGAAATATGTTTCAAAACCCTCTTTTTCTGATTATCAAGACATTTTCCCGAATTATGTATCTCGTTTTTATCTATTTCAATTAGTAATTCCTTGATTTGATTGATATTATTAGAGATAAAAGGTGTTTTCAGATTGGCTTTTAGAGATGTTTGTAACACTAGGTCATACAAAAATGATTCCACATTCAAAACAAAATCAATCACAACCGAATATGTAATTACGGGCCCTGGAGAATAAGACAATTTGAATAATGTGACTTTTTGCAAATCGATAATTTTGAACCACTTTTCGGGCAACTGAAAAGACTCTAATACAACTAGAAATTCTTGAAATTCTGTGTAGCAAAATGATTTTTGGTTATTTTCGAATTCAGTTTTACTTTTGGTAAGTGCTTGTGCCAAATTTCTAGTCTCTAGTATCTCAAGTTTTTCATCACGACTTGTGCGTAATTTTACATCTCTCGATAAATAAGATGGACAGTTGGGAAATTGAGTGGGAATAACATCTCGTTTGAGCCTAGGAATTTTCAAATCTATTGTTACAGTTTTGCCAGTTTTTGAATCGGTTGCAGTAGATGAAGTAATAATATCATCTTTATTAGTAAAATGTAATTCACATACTTTACTGTACTTAGATGGAGTCGTAAAATCCTTGCGGTGAATTGCATGTACCCATTTTTTCGATAGTTCCTTGTCCAACGGGAAACTAAAAGCATGAACTTTTGGACCACCCACATAATTCCCCCGACAAAAGGGAACACAACACTTGTTAGGCATTGTTATTTCGCCTATCACAACACGAAATATTTCACAAAACAGTAATTTCTCCGCCAATTATTTTGATGAATAAACAACAAGAGAATTCGAGCACACGCGATTTACCTACGCCACCGTTCTTAAACAAAAACAAACTGACGAACGATCGACGCGAATGCCTTGGAAGATGGCCTGAGTATGCGACGTCACGAGCTGTTTACGTCAGAGTCTGCTGGCCTTGTTTTATCGGTGGTAACGGTCAGGTTCGCACCAGATAGCTGTCAAGAAGCTATCTGGGCAGCACTGCACTGATGAGAGCCAACAGCTCGAAACCGGTCTGCAGGTAGTCACGCGTTCCTGAATCACTTAGGCGCTGCTCGGCGTTTAGGAAGGAAACATTTGCGATTTCATTCGTCTATACGAATTATTGCATAGATTTCGGGAGGATGTAATCCAATGTTCTGCATGGCATGTAGCCAGCAAAAAAAAAGTTGTTTTTCTCTCGTCATCTACCATTTTCGTTCATTTTATGAACTATTGTGGTAATGAATTTGAGTTTCTCTATCTATGCAACGATTCGTACAGACGAATAAGATCTCAAGTGTTCACTTCCTGAATGATGGAATGTGCTTGAATTGCTCAGAAACACCTACAAACCGGTTTCAAGCTTTTGGCACTCATCAGTGCAAGAGTGTACCCAGATGGTATTCATGACAGCCATCTGGTGCGTAAATGTGTACGCTGGCATCTGCGAGATGAAACGCCACCTGGAAGGAACGAAACTTCAGATAAAATGGAAATAGCTGATTGCCCGACTGCCGTCATATCATATACGAGCTCAAAGTAATTTCCACAAAAGTTTCCTATAGCTATATGCAACGCAGAACATTCAATTATTCGTATAGACGAATGAGATCTCGAGTGTTCCCTTCCTAATTGCTGAAATGTGCTTAAATTGTTCAGGAACGCTAGACTACCTACAGACCGGTTTCGAGCTTTTGGCTCTAATCAGTGCAGGGACATCCTCAGATGGCATTCGTGACCGCTATCTTGTGCGAACGTGGCCCAAAATGCTCAAAGTGAAATGATATCTTGAATAAATATATAATAGATAACGCCTGACCTCATTTTCCATGTATAAATGTTTTGTACATAAATTCCTGATGAGCCAAAGGTCGTGGGTTCAAATCCTTTTTCTTCTTTATTTTTCGAAGTGATTGGTTAAAAAAAATGTGAAGGTATTTACACTTGGGGCCGGTATATGTACATTTTGTTTCCGATAAATGTTCTTCTCGGTTCAAGATATGTTCATCATCTGAATCGAAATGGACATCCATTGGATGTTCAATTTTGTGACCAATGAATATCCGATAGATATCCATCGGATGTTCCTCTGGACATAATCTGATGTCCAATGGATATTCGTGATGTCCATTGTGGAGTTTCAATAGCATGAACATAAAATTTTTCAGTTTCTGTTTTTTTGACATGAGAAATACAAATTCGTAACTCTTGTGATTGCTCAAAGAGGCGGGCGCTAGTGACAATCAGTTATATCAGTGAATAAAATCATATCTTCTTCGTCCATTGAATATTGGTTGAAATGAGTTGAAATTCTGAGAACCTGTTCAATTTCACCTAGAAAATATGTAGCAGCAACTACTGAAACGGACGACCAGCAATATTATTGTGTTAACGTCTCACATATTTCAAGTTATTTTTGTTCTTTCATTTTTCCTGTAGATTGAGTGATAATTGAGTATTAATTCAGAATATGAGATACTTAGAATAATCTTATTCTTTTCTCATACATTCAGAAGGATTGTAGGTACTCCTAATTTCGTGCGTCTAGTTTATATATTTGCAAATGCTCAGTCAAAATCTCGGCAGAATGCGACACCTATCGAGAAGATTTTCATGAAGGTGAAAAGAGAGTTGTTGTTGTCACGAAAAAGGAAGACACTTCACTTCCTCAAGTTGGGTTGACCGGTGAAGATAGTGATCCCGCTCATACTCGACCTCGTGAAGAGTTCTATACTGTGCTATATACCTCGGGAACCAGCATCTCGACCCCAGGACAAGGTGGTTGCAACCCCCGGTATAAATGGTAATGAACTCCTGAAGGAGATAATCCAGGTAGGCCCATTTAGCCGTTTGTTTGACAAGAGCAATTTTACCTAATACCAATCGTATGTTGAACGTTGTTGGTCCTTCGAGCCGGAATCCCGTAATAAATAGTAGTTTATTCTCAGTAAAGTGATTTTTCTCTTAAGCTCTCAGTCTCCCTCTAGTGAAAATAATAATAATAATAATAATAATAATAATAGTTGGTTAATTTTCCATTCACGACATTGCTGGTTCCCAAATAATCACTCTTGATACATCAGTCGCTCTCTGTTTTATTTGTTTTCTTTTCCTTATTCGTTGAAGGTCAAAAAAGCATTTCTCTAACAAAAACCAAAACCCAACTTCGATATAGAACTCATGATTCATTAATCATATCGAATACCGAATCGTGTTTATTTCACTCAGGTAAGCGATCTTCATTCGTATTGTAGTGCGCAAAAAAACTTGTTATTTCCAGCGGAGTTTTTGTGCGATTCATTAAAACTCTCTCGAATTACTTTTTGTTATCTGCCCTCCCAAGATTGAATGTTGCTCTTTTTAATTGAAATCGGTATATACTGTTATCCACAAGATATGAGTATTTCGTCATAGAGTATTTATCTTCAAAATGTTTTTTTTTTCATTAAATATAATAACTTCCGAAATAATATAACAAAATTCAATAATAATTTCCATTCACGGGGTCTACTCAGCTGAGTAACAGTTTTTTCATGAAAAAGACCACAAAACAACTGAAACAATATCGAGCGCAGCGACAGATTGCTACTGATCAAATTCAAGAAATTCTTGAACTCGCATTGCTAGCTCTCACTGACGCCTCGATGAGAACTTCTCTTCAAATTCGAACCGATGAACTTTCTGACATCTATGCGGATTTTAATTCTAACCATATATCTGCAGTTATTCAAGACGATGCTGACTTGGATAGTGAGAAAATTTATCGCAAGGTAGTCCGAGTCCGAAATATTCTCAAGTTGAGCTACCTAAATTAAATGTACCCACTTTCAATGGCACTTTTAAGGCGTGGCCCACATTCATTGATCTTTTTGACTCTCATTCATACTAATGACTTTTTTTCACCTATTGAGAAATTTCAATATTCATTATCAGTTGTAAGTGGAGACGCTCTAAGTCTGATTAAAAACCTTCCACTTACTACCGATAACTAGTCTATTGCCTATGAAAATTTGAGAACGTGCTCCCAGAATGAGGCATTTAGCTTCATATTATTGGGACGTACTTCGTACTTCGTAGAATTTAGAAGTTTTATTTTTTTATGTGTCCCTTCCAGGGCTTCGTACCTTTGTAAGAGTGAGATAATCTGAGTGATGATATATCATAAGAAACGTATTAATATTCATTGTAATCTGTATGAAATCATCTTTCACAGATATCAACTCAGATAAGGGCTTCAACTGTCCATCAGATGAGATAACACATTATGCAATTCCAGATGATTGTAGAAGGTATTATGAATGCAACAAAGGAATGAGATACCTGAAAACCTGCCCTGAGAATTTATACTGGAATGAACTAGCTGACAGGTGTGACTATGCAGATCGAACCAATTGCAGTAAGTGTTATTTTTGTATGGAAGTCAGTAATTTTTTGTTGAACTTCAGTCACAGTTTAGGGATGCTTCAGTGAGGGATAGATGTGCGAGCAACATCGAGGTTAAACTAGTTTATTTTCAACTATATAGAGTTGAAGTGCATCAGGGCGATGAAGTTTTTGCACGATGAATATCTCTTTTGTCAAGTAGGTACCTACCTAAGGATATGTCACAAATATTTCCATTTTGATTAACTTATATCATGAATTTTCAATTCAATTATGGAAATAATAGCATATACAGTGTGTCCCACTTACCATGCTCACCATGGGTATCTTTTTAACGGTGAGAGTTACGAGGTCGGTTAAATGACACCAAATGTGGAGTTTCTCAAGGCCAACTATAATAAGAAAAAATATTTCGATAAAATCTATTCGTCTTTGTTTTATACGCAAAAAACAGATTCTGATCATTTTCATGTCTCCTCCGTAACTTTTTTATTTATGAAAATATTCAAATAGGAATTTCACATTCTCATAGCAGTTTTTCAAAGTGATTTCGAAAAAAATATGAAATTTATACCAACTCTTCTAGAATTTGAGATATCAGCACCAACTTTAGTTTTTCAAATGTAGGTCATATTTCACTATGACTTAATTACAAATAACTTTTTTTTTTTTACAGATGATATGGCGCAGTAATAGTTTTGTGTTGATAAGAACGGAGTTCTCGTCATTTATACAAAAACAAAAAATTATTTGGAAGCGGCCATCTTGAATTTATAAATTTTAACGAAAAAATCATGATCTCCGACCTCAAAAACCCCCACTTACCAATTTTGAATGGAATCGGACCAAATCTTGTCCGCCATCTTGGAGCAGCCGATTTTTTTAATTTCAACAAAAATTCCATAATGTATTGTCATCGAAATTATGAACACCTGCCAAATTTCAAGTTAATCGGAGTTATGGAATTTTTGTTGAAATTAAAAAAAATAGCTGCTCCAAGATGGCGGACAAGATTTGGTCCGATTCCATTCAAAATTGGTAAGTGGGGGTTTTTGAGGTTGGAGATCATGATTTTATTGTTAAAATTCATAAATTCAAGATGGCGGCTTCCGAATAATTTTTTGTTTTTGTATAAATGACGATAACTCCGTTGTTATCAACACAAAACTATTAATGCGACATATCATCTGTAAGAAAAAAAAAAGTTATTTGTAACTAAGTCATAGTGAGCTATGACCTACATTTGGTGCTGATATCTCAAATTCTAGAAGAGTTGGTATGAATTTCATATTTTTTTCGAAATCACTTTGAAAAACTGCCATGAGAATGTGAAATTCCTATTTGAATATTTTCATAAATAAAGAAGTTACGGAGGAGACATGAAAATGATCAAAGTCTGTTTTTTGCCTATAAAACAAAAACGAATAGATTTTATCGAAATATTTTTTCACATTATAGTTGGCCTTGACAAACTCCACATTTGGTGTCATTTAACCGACCTCGTATCTCTCACCGTTAAAAAGATACCCATGGTGAGCATGGTAAGTGGGACACACTGTATATTCGTTCATTCTCAATTAGTTATTTGGTTTACCACAGCCATCTCAAAACTTATGAAAATACTTTAGCAGACCTAATAACCTTTCGACCGGGGCGAAATACTCTCGGGAATATTGGCGCTCTGCCAATAACTTAGATAGATAGAAATTTGGTAGAATATAAAGCTCAGAACATTTGACAAATTTACAAATGAATGCGATCAATTTGCAATGGAAGAGGAGCGATTCTATAGAGGATCCTTTCAAGAACTATTAATCAGTTTTTGATGAATGTTTTCCCAAACTAAAAATCAAAATGAAAAATTTAAAATCGTGGATTACGCAAGGCATAAAAATTTCTGCTAACATCTAGAGATCGTTACACACAATACGCACATATTTTTGTGATGAAAAAATGAATTCTCTTTAAGAGTAAAATGAACAATGCGAAAATTGACATTAAAGAAAACTGGGCCATAGTGAATAGTCTAAGAGGAAAATCAAGCCCACTTCCAGAAATAAGGTCTATATGTAAAGATCTTGAAACCCTCAATGAGTATTACTGCACAATATCTGACAAACTAACGTCATCCCTCGTACCTACTTAATTTCCAATGGATTATTCAAAAAATGTAAATATGCCCAACAATTTTCATATTGAAAATACAAATTAATCGGAGCTAAAAAAATTTTAGCATGAAATTAAAAACAAAAATTCAACAGGCATTGATGAAATGTCTGTTAAAATTTTAAATAACCTTCCCGATTCCGCATCGATTACACTAGTAATGGCTATAAATAATTATTTTGCTGTTGGAAAATTCCCTCCGTGCCTAAAAACAGCTCTTGTGATTCATTTATACAAAGTTGGTAATTCTGAAGATCCGAGTTACTTTAGACCTATCTCCCTGCTGCAAAAGGCACAAACGATGCAATCTTTTCCTTTCTTGAACATGTCTACACACATCTCAACAATGGGGAAGTCGCAGCTGCAGTATTCTGCAAAGCTTTCGATTGTGTAAATCATGAACTTCTTTTGCAAAATATGGACTGCTATGGGTCTAGAGGAGTGAGTTATAACTGGTTTAGGTCTTACATGAGTGATAGAAAACAAGTTGTGAAATCAAATGGAAAATCACACAATAAGAATATTGTATGGGGTGTTCCACAAGGATCAGTTCTGGGCCAGATTCTTTTCCCTATATGTCCTTTCAATTCAAGGAATTTTTACGATCTTTGCGGATGACACAACGCTCCTTTGGCATGGATGTAGTAAAAATATGGCGTGACGCAAACTACATGAGCTTCAACATCAAAAAAACAAACTTACTCACCTTTAAATCTAATATCAACAATTTGTACTCAAATGAGAATGAAAACCAATTCAAATTCCTGGGAATTTTTATTGATAATAGATTGGAATTTGACCAGCATATTTCAGCTTTAACAAAAGAATTGTCATCAGGATGTTATGCACTCAGAATTGTTTCAAATGAACTATTCCATTCTTGGTCTCCAGAATCAATCATAATCGGCCATTTTCACGGTTTCTTCTATAACAGCGATATTATTTTGTTTACTAAATTTTGTCGAACTTGCTCTACCAATTCAGAAGCCGAATTGACCCACACCTGACCAACCTTCCTCGTTTTTCAGCAATAGAATTTTGGACGTTTGAAACGTCAATTATGTTGGAAGCCAGATTGATGGATGCAGTGTGCGCAACTCTAGTGAGCCGCTCGTTTATTGTCTCAATCATGGAATACTCATACGAATAAAACTCGTGATACTATTTTTCCTGGAAATATTCGTCGATTGACATATTATCCAGCTTGCTGCTCTAATTTTGCTCATGACATTGTTTATCAAAACTTCCGAGCCGTAGGCGAGAAGTTTTGGAACAATGTCGGCAAAATTATTAGGCAACAAGCTGTCGTAACACAAATAGTATCATTTGTGGTATTGAAAATCAAAAAATTCTAACCATCACTTGTATTCTCATTCTGGAAACTGCTTGCCTGATTTACAAAAAAAATATATGGTTGAAACTTCGAAACATACAAATCACGTAACCATCACGCAACAGGAAATAAAATGCCTCTTCCTGTTCCAAAATCAAACCCGACAAAATATTCCTTGATTTATGAAAGTAAAAAGCTGTTAACCCACATACTGTACGAAACCAGGTTGGAGAAAAGCTATAAAAAGTTCAGAAATCTTGTTAAAGAAGCTCTTGCAACAAAAGCGTACTATTCAACCTTGAGGATTATTACAATGGAACTGTAGTGATTAAAAATTGTATATTGTTTTACATTCACACCTATATGTGGGGTCTGATTAAACTGTGAAATATGTTTCAATTTAAGGACTTGTGAGCTTATATGTTCTGATTAACTCATTGTACCAGTATATCACCTGACGAAGCTACTGTGTTAGCGAAACATGTCGTGTGTTCAAAAATTTTGTCGAAATCTTATCGTTTGTGAAAGTAACGGCCGAGTCAATTCAAAAAATGGATTACACAGTTTCGTTGTATCTAGCAAAAAGTGTATGCTACAGAGGTAAATTCACGTCTGGAGTTGCAAGTCAGCATTGAACATCACTTAGATGACCTTACAGCCGATCCTCAACCGTTTAGAAAAATAATGCTTTCATAAAAACAATATCGAATCGTGTATTCGTGGGAACGGAGGACATTTTGAACAGTTTAACCGATTCAATATTTTATGTTTCTAGTCGAATATTTCTCAATTTTCTACTTGTGATTCTTTGTTCAATAACCACAGCACAAGGATGATGTAATTGTTTTTGAATCTGAATAAACAATTAATTGATCTCAATAAATTTCATTTTATCTATACGAGCATCAGTTATTACTCCATTATTTTCAAATCGAAATATTCCGAAAACCAAACACAGTATCGAGTTTTACCAAGAGTACCTTTTTGGTGTGGAATTGAATGATGTTTGAGTTCACATCAAATTTGGATTGGAGAATCTAACCTCAAAAAAGTTCTGTTTGAAACTAATCATCACAATTTTGCCAGTAGCTACGACGTTATCGTGAAAAATGTGTAAAAAAATCATTTTTTCTACACCTTGTATCTTGAAAACGGATGCCGTTACGACATTTTTTTAATGAACTAACCCAACTCATTTTGCAATGTTCTACCAACCCTATCAAGAGGGTCAGTTTTTTTTTAAATAATCCATTGACGAATGCCCCATCAAAGTTTACCTACCCTTGCAAAGAGTCTTTCGGAAATCAGTTTCAGAACGCTTTGAGCAGGAAGTGTCTGCCACTTCGTGCAGTCGGTCGGTTTGAATTTAAACGAACTGGCGTGGTGTATGATTCTTGCACCAGCAGCTCCAATTGACTGTGGATTTGAAAAAAAAAACCATACTTTTTGTGTTTCAGCTGCGAATGGAACATCTACATCAGAACCATCAACAACAGGTGAGATAAACGCGTGTTTTCCTGACGAATCACGTTGGTGGAAAGTGAGATTGGGGACTGTTTGACCTACCAAAAAAGGGAAGAGTTGTATTTCGTGCAAGATTATTTATTCAATATTCGTAGCAGAGCGCTTTCGACTGTTAAGTCATCATCAGTGCATACTCGTCAGGTTAACAGGGAAATTTGCCCACTTTGGTCCAGTTTAAAGCTAACGACATTATGGTAAAATACGGTACAAACATATATTGAAATGTGTTTCCCAAATGGGGTAAAATACGGATTACTTTTTGTTAAGCAGCCACTGTCGCACGAAATACAACTCTTCCCTTCTTGGTATATATAGACGTGCACACCGCCCAGCAACCCTCACTGTTTGACCTTGCTATTTATTGGTCCAGAAGCCAGCCGAGTTCACACTAACGGTGTCATGAATGAATATGAACATTTGAAGTAGTTAGTTGACAGGCTTTCTATAAACAGTCTGAAAAAATGCGAAAGTTGTCGTGTTTAACAATAATCAATTTTCAAACTTATATTATCCTACCATGTGATATCCCAAACACGAATAATGAATTTTTTGGTATATTACAAATTGATATTCATCATAAAGGACGTGGAAAGAAATTCTGATCTGAAACCTAATCACGAATCTGTGATTGAAGGTCTATAAAAATTAAAAGTTTCCATCGTTCAAGTTTGAACCACTTGATTGGGTGGAAGTATTGAGAAGGAATATTCTCAGATGGAATTATGAACATAAAAAAATGGATGTACAGGGTGGCCACTAAGAATTCAGAGTTCGATATTTCTGTTGTCTTGAGAGATACAAAAAAAAGTTTCGCATACAAATTCAAGTGATAACCGAGCTCAACATTTCAAATTTTCTTTGAAATACACAGGGTGTTCCGTAAGGTCACAGCACATCAAAGCTGTTTGTTTCATTGGAACACCCCATATTTTATTTCATTTTTGAATTCTTCCTGAAGATCTGATTTCAACGACGTATCATACTTAGGGTCTAGCAGTAAAAGTTACTGACATATAGGGTGTGCAAAATCGAGATTTTCCAAGTTCAGGATTTTTTTCTGTGGAAACTGTTCATTATTTGTCAAAACGGTTTACATGTCCCTATCTCAACTTTTCACTCACTATCAATTGGTGTTCAATTGACATTTGATTGAAACAAATTATAAAATTTTTTGACCACCTTGTATCAATTTCAATATCAATATATCCGGGAAAAAAGTAATTTATGAAAAGTGACATTTTATAACCTGTCAACAGATATGAAATGCCAAACTTTCTTCCCGTCACAAAAAAAAATTATTTCACTGGCTAATGCCACACAGAACATTGAATTAATAATAATAATATAATCGATCCATAGATTTCCGGAGAATATGATATTCAATGTTCTGCATGGCATTAGCCAGGAAAGTACTTGTTTTTTCACGTCATCTACAATTGTTGTTCATTTAAGGAATATTTGTGGACTTGTGTGACGACTCATTCTCGAGTTTTTCGTATTTATTTGACATTTCATTCCACTAAAAGCATTTTGGCTATTTCGTAGTTGATAATATATACAGTATGATGCAAATGTATGGAATAAATTCATTATTTCAGAAATGGGCGACATTTGAAGAAATTCCAGAAACACGTGAGTTTTAATTTTTGAAACCTAAACTCATGACATTCATATGAGAGATGTTACGTCACCGGTGTTGGAGTAATGACGTAATGGACGGTTTTTTTAAATACAAACAGGGGTCATGTAACACCTCGTTTGAAAGGTCAACTGATCGTCTATCCAATAGTCAAAATTTTGCAAAAGAAGATTGAAATTAAAATGGATTATCATTTGGTTAACTGAATCTTGCAGAGATCTTCTACTGAGAATTGAACATCGAAGGGTCGTCTAGTTGAAAAAATACATCGATAAAAAAGTTCTGAACTCCAGTTTTTGGATTCTTTTCGGAAGTCGTCTTGTTTTGAAATGAATTTATTCCATACATTTGCATCATACTGTATATGCGTTTCTGAGCGAACAAATATGCAGAATTATTCAATTTTGACGAACCATCCTCACTCAAAACTTTCCTTAGATTTGTTCTGCAATTTTCCCTTGTCTTATAATAGAGCTGAGACATCGAGTTTCGTTCACCTTGATGTAGGCACCGCTTCATTATCATATCAATGTTTTATTCACACCGGAATGATACTCTTTGAGTGATAGTCCGAAAAAATGTATATTCTACTCGCTTTATGACGACTATTTTTCTTTCCGTTGATCCCTGGGAACATTATACAGGGTTTCTATAATGAATGATCGTAGCTTCGTAATGACGGTTGAAATGCAGCCGCTCTCTGCTCATGCTGTTGTTAAGTATTGAAGCGACCAACTGTGTTCTAGTTCGATCTCCATAAATGGCAAGTCAAAAAAATGTTTCAACGGTCACTACGATCACAGTTTATGGAATAGTGCTACGATCATTTATAGAGACTCTGTACCTATAGGTTCGTTAAGAATATATGATATTCTTGTAGCTTTCACGCCAGATCCACACTGTCCATACCCATCAGAAAATATAACATACGACGTCTATCTACCCGACTGTAGAAGGTTCTACGAGTGCTTCGAAGGCATCAGATATATTTCTTGGTGTCCTGATGACCTCTATTGGAATGATGTCGACCATTCCTGTGACTCTTTGGACAAGGTCGACTGCAGTGAGTATTAATATTGATAACTACCCTAAAATGAGGTAATATATGGGACTATACAGATATTATGGGCATTCGGTTATAATGATCGAATGTGAGAATGAGAGTCAAACATTCTCCCTGGTGGAACCAAAATAGCAATTTTCCTAACAAGCGCGGAAAGTGATTCTTTTCCGCACGCGACTGCCGTTGACACGAACGACGTGAAGCGGAGTTCGGACAAGCAGTCGAGTGCGGGTATAGTTATTGAATAATTTTTAGTTAAACTTGATAGAAATAGCTGAACAACAAACAATTACATATCAATAAAATATAATGATAGAAAATTAAATCATTTCTTCCTAATATTTATATTGAGATGAAATACAAATATCGAGAAGAACGGTTGAAAAGTAAAAGGAATAACGGCTTCTTATAGTGCATACTATAGTCTACAGCAACTAAAATGAATATAAATGTTCCATACCAGTGAGATTTTTGGGTAGCACTGAGTGTGGAAAAGTATTACTTTGCGCACGCAAATGAGTGCGGTAAAGTACAACTTTGCGCACGCTCGTAGGAAAAGACACTTTCCACATAAGTAAGGAACAATATTTTTTCTACAAGCGTAGGAAATGGATTGATTTGTTCAATTAATCATTCATTCATTTAGGAACAACTAACAAGAGAAATATATTCTCTATCTAATGATTATTAGTAATAGCTATTGTGAACTTACAGTTTGACGCATTATGTGTAGGTTGATTGCGGAAGCTAGCAGGCTCATTATAAGGTGTTTGGTCTCTAGGTTTCAGACACTTCTAGGAAATGAGCCAAAAATACTTCTTCTTTATTCGGTATTTTCATTTCTTCATTGTTGCACCATTCAATAAAACGCGTGTATAGCTTATTCTCATACCTTTCTTGAAACTTCGTTGACAATAACACATCTTCATCGCATCCCTACAGCTGGTAGTTTTTGATCACATTGTGGCAATTCCACTGAATCGAAAATGACAGTAACGCTGTGTCTGTCACTTCGACAATTACAAACTCATTTGTTGCGACCTCCCTCAACGCTCTAAAACCTTAAAGTCGCATAAACCGGCTGTCAGAATGACAGACGGGTAGTTTGCCGCTCGCTACAGTGGAGATGGGGGGGGTTCGATATGAAGAAAAATCGTTAAAAATGAATTCTCATAGTGAAATGGGCGCCAGATAAATTTACCCCTGGCAAACACCCTTAGTTGCTAATCAACTCACCAAATTTACCAAAATAAGTTGATGAAAATCAAAGGAAATAATTAACTCGGTATAACAATAACAACTTCAGTTTAATTGCATCAAATTGCAAATTCAATATTCAATATTAATAACAATTGTACAAAATCTCACAGTGTCAACTCAAAAATACTTAGGCCTTTAGTGTGAATAGATGATTATAAATGAAATGGTAAATAGATGGAATCAAATAATATTCTATGACCCCACAGTCTCAAATTAAGTACAACCTATGTAATATGGGTAAATTGGCTTACCAAGCCTTATGCATAAGCGCTGGGTTTCCCTAAATATTCGAAAAGTAAAATGAGGTGTGTGGAATCAGAAGAACATTCGATAAAAAGTAATGACGCAACGAATTATATCATAATATTAAATCTAATTTCAAGATAAATTCCCAGTGATAAAAGTTCAAGTTAAATATGAGTTTCCTAGTAAAAACTTGCGTGCAATCCCACGACGAAGACTTGAGCCTACAAGTCAGATGTCAGACTGTAGACTGCAGACTGCTCGAAGTGTTGATAATGTCTGCGACTAGCAGATGATGGTATCTGCAGTCAAAGTTCGGCTAATGCTGGTTCGAGTTCAGCAGTGTTAGACCTGGCCCGAACAACCAGGAATCCTAAGCCTCCAGATTTAGTACCAAGCACGACGAGAAATATGAGCAGACTTATACCAAAAGGAAAAACCCTGTGAAGGAATAAGCTAAATTACACGCTATTCCTTACTTGTTTGACAATATTTCTGTACTCAGGTTGTTATTAAAAAAACTATTGAAACCCCATTAAATTGAAATTGAACTATGATATCATCAAATATCAATCTGTAATCTCGAACAGAACATTTATAACCCTTTTGTTCACTTTTTATGATTTCACCCTGTATAACCCATAACCAACTCAACCAATCTCAACATTTCAAATATATAACTTAATTAATCTCAATGAACTCATTTTAGAAAGATTAGTAAGATTCTGCTTGGAAACTTTAGGTTGTCCCACCCTGTATAGTTGTCTATTTCCAAAAATGTATTGCAATTCTTGTTGAGTAGGAAAAGCCCTTTGTCATTACACTGTTTAAAAACTTTAAGTGGTGACACCCTGTATAGTCCCAGAAAATGGTAGAGTAATTTCGATCAATTTGAAACTGACATTATTAAAATCCAGCTTGAAAACTTAAGTGATGTCACCTGGTATACCCTCAGAAAAAGGCTGTATCATTTCGATGAACATGAAAGTGACATTATTAAAATCCAGCTTGAAAACTTAAGTGATGTCACCTGGTATACCCTCAGAAAAAGGCTGTATCATTTCGATGAACATGAAAGTGACATTATTAAAATCCAGCTTGAAAACCTGAGGTGGTATAGACTATCTCACACACTACACTATGTCCCTTAAAAGTGATGTAGGTTCCCCATAAATATCAAGAGACCACTCTGTCTCACTAGAGCTCTAAGAATTAACTTCAAACTAAAGATTTCAGCCTCCTCAAAGGTCAGATTGCACAGACAATAATGCTGATAGATTACTAGTAAATAAGATGTGTAGGACACACTTACCCGAGTGTCAGTGGGGCTTGTTTCCTCTATAACCTACAAATAATATCACACAAGGTATCTCAGGTTTCCTAAATCAGCCCTGGGGCTCCCTTGAGTTGAGATGAGAGGTTAGGTTATGTATGGTTCAACTGATCGTTCTTGATAGCTGGCTGTGGACAGAAGAGGTGATCTTGGACTATGCTGGGGATATGATTGATAATTCACATTTTCTGAATTGTGGAACATACCTTTATAACGAAGTTGCTTTGGTGTACACAAGTATTGAAATCCCGAACACGGAAGTAATTTTGAAAACGTACTCAAAATATGCTAATCACAAAACCCAATACGTTTCAAAATATAAAATTCATATTAGCAGAATATAACCCATAAATGGATGAATAGAATATTCATGAATATCTACCAAAATATATACCATACGACACCATCAGCATGTCGTGCCAAATGCCCGAAGGAAGAAGGAAGTGAGAAGTGACCCAGTGACCAGTGACAAAGTGTCTTTGTCAAATCTGTCAAATTCTCAATGTCAATCAACTTCACTTCTCCCGACAGTTATCGACAAGGTACATTCAACTGAATGCTGCACTCGTATCAATAGTCCAAGACCACTCCTCGGCCCCAACCTATACGCTTACAAATTTGCTATCATTCCTTCTATTTATTGCATGAGAATTCGCTTGTATTTGTTCATAAAGTATGCTAGCCGACACCTCGGGGTCCTCGCTGTTAGCAGATTCATCAATTTAAGTTCTGGTTTCGGTTCGATGACGCAGTTGATAGACTACACTCTCGGTAGATCGCTTCCCCACTATTCATGATGATTCGTATGACGTTTGCCCAGGTTGGTGTCGAATAGCCGTTCGACGGCCAAATAGGTCGAGAAATAAGACTCAAATGAATATCGCCGCGTTGCCGGCGAACTATGGGCGCTAAGCTGCAAATAAACCGTAACATTGTGGTTTGATTGGCATGACAACAATAATCGTTTCCCATCAGATCAATCTAAATCTATAGGGGGATTTTTATAAAAATCAATTTTTATTTTTCAATATTTCTTCATTTTCACAATAAATAGTGCAATTTGATGGATTATTCTGAACATACATACTTAATACTGCAACAAATAAACTCAAACTCTCATATTCCATCACCTAACACTAATACTTTGCGATATTATCATATCTTTGTTTCTCCCGCAATGTTACGGGAAAATGACACTACCCAAACTAAATTGCGTGCGGGTATGGGGTGAATCACGCACGATTGTAGGTAATAGTAATTTTCCTAACAAGTGCGGAAAGTGATGCTTTACCGCACGCGACTGTCGCAATGTTGCGGGAAAATGATACTTCCCAAACTAAATTGCGTGCGGATATAGGGTGAATCACGCACGCTTGTAGAAAAAATTATTTCGAGTCGTAAAAATACATATACCTATTCAGATGGATTGAAATGTTGTTGTGAACTAACATGACTTATGTTTGGGATGTGATATCGATAACTCCTGTTGAGAATGAATTCATGGAATGATCCTTCAGACGTCAGAGCGAAAATCGTATTTGTTGACTGCATTTTTCGGAAATTATTCGATGAAAAGCTCGAGAATCGTCCCATATTACTTCGTATTACAGTACCGTTATGATATCTCAGTTATGACGGAGGTGTTCAGTACGGGCGATTTTGAAATTCAGACAAATTGAAAAATGTCAAATATACCATTTTGTTATGTCATTTAATTATCTTAGTGATCAAATTGAAGATATGCATTTAACCAGGTTTTTTTGTGGATTTTCTCTCGTTTCTACAAATAAAATATCAGTATTATTTCAATATACCTGTATATAGTAAATCAGATGAGTTGCCACAAGTGCATATAAATTGTGGTAAAAAAATCGATTGTGGTAAAATAAATGTTCCACCTCCTCGATTATCCTTCACAGTATTTGAAGGAGATTACCTCGACTTCTAAATCACAACAACCTGTATGTTTTCGATAACTGATGGTTGTTTTTGGATGTATGACAAATTGATATTCATCATACAAGAAATTATTGAATAATTGAGAAAAAAAACTAATCACAAATTCTTATCGTGTGTGTTCAATAGATATAATTTTATGTTCGTCGTGGCATATAGCCGGGAAAGTAGTTGTTTTCTGTTGAATGAACCGAGGAAGAATTAATATTTTCATCACATAGAGAATGCGAATTCTCAATGTATTTCTTTATATATATACTTATATCAATTTTTTCATGTTCATAACTTAGCCGAGAATAGTCCTTTTCAATACTCTCATCCAATCAAGGGGTTCAAATTTGAATGATGGAAACTTGCTATTTTTATAGATCTTCAATCGCAGATTCGTGATTTGGTTTTCTCAATTCAGAATTCATTTCCACGTCCTGTATGATGAATATAAATTTGTTATACATCGAAAATCAATACATACGTTGTCACTCCATGCAAACTAAGGTTTTCCAAAATCTTCATAACCTCACCTATTCACGTTTCAAGACATATTATTAGTTCGATGAGTTTCTCCGATAGGTCGACTTACACTTCATGTTTATGAATTTTTTTTTAAAATCGTCGATTTTTTTTTCAGGTCGGAATTCCAGTAAAACAACTTCAACTACTTCAACTACTTCAACTACTTCAACTACTTCAACTACTTCAACTACTTCAACTACTTCAACTACTTCAACTACTTCAACTACTTCAACTACTTCAACTACTCCAACTACTTCAACTACTTCGACTACTTCTGCCTCACCAAGTAAGGATAAATGAATTCCCAATATCAGCACATACATGAACTGAATGATCAATAATTCTGATTCATAGTTATACAGCATAATATAAAAATGAATAGTAGTTTAAAAAAAACTGAAGAAACACGATTTTACAGATAGCCAAATTGAAAAGAAGTAGACAAAAAATACTAAAAGTGTGTTGATAAACACACAACATAGAAAATATAAGCACCTCCGTAATCAGTATACAGGGTGTAATTTAATTGATGACTGAAAATATAGGAAATGCTTCCTCAGCTCATTTTAAGAAGAAAAGTGCCATAAACCTCTTAACTTTCGAACTATAAGGTGTTAAAATTTCATTTCATCTTCTTTGGTTGAATAAACTTTCACAATGTAAAAAACTGTCACGTTCATGAATACCAGTCAAACTGAAAACGCAATGTTATTGTTTAAATGTTATTATTTTAAAAACGAAAAAGGGCACTAGCCTATTAGTTCAGAATAATTTCGTTATGCCACAAATGCATGAAAAAAGTTTTGATTGGTGATTGGTCTATGCACATCACACAAACTGGATAGAATAGAATAGATTTATTTCTAAAAGAAAAACCAAGGTACACATGTGTAGGAATAAGTTCGAAAGTTAACAAATGTAAACTTGACCAAGTACAAAAAATAATAATTTATGACAGAATAGAAAAATCGCTAACAGGAGTAGACATACCTATTTAGATAGAACAGGAAATACGTTGTGCATAATGAATATTTTTGGTTCAAAAAAGAGAGAAAAAGAGGCGATTTCCAAAGCCTATGAGATATGAATTTCGAAAATTGTATGTGTGCCAACATGCAAGTTTGAATAAGAGGGTTCAAGAGAATCAAACTTGAACTGTGAGGCAATGATACAATGTTCACGTATGGCGTGAAGTGCTCATGGGTTTATATTAAAAATTGTCTAATTTTTCTAAGCACAGCCTGCTCAATAGCAGCCAATTCACCCGTAGCGTCTGCTGCGTCTGCATTGTATTTGGAGATCGAGTAACGTTATATACGTTGATACTCTACAAAACAATGTGCAGTACAGAACACACAGAGTATCATGTGGAACTCTGTACTGCCCATGGGTTCGGAATAACGCTACGTCGTTGATGATCTACAAAGCACTGTGCAGCACATCACACAGAGTTTAATGCGGCGTTCTGTACTACACATGGGTTCGAAAATACGCGGCCCGGTGATTGGACGCGCAACGGCCTGAGTTACTAAGGAAACTCCCACCAAGACGTGTTCGAGCCCCACGGATGTTTGTGTATGTATGCTTTCTTAGCCCTGCACCAGTTTCGAATTGTGGGGCGTTGGTTCCAGTACTGGGACCAACGAAATAATGCAATGAGGTTGTACACACTAGTCGAATTTAATCAACATACGTAATATACAGGTTGTCCCAAAATTGCTGGGACACAGGAACTACCACGTGTAATACAATTCAAAATAAGTTGATTGGACCCAACTCATTTTTATATAAAAATGTACAGTTTATCTGTGATTCGAGTTCAAAGTTTATGTAGAAAATAGTAGTAGTAGTAGTAGTAGTAGTAAAAGTATTAGGATCAAAAGTGACACTTTGTCTGACAAGCGAATTTTGCATTTGCGAGGCGGAGCGTCTAGCGAAGCCGAGCGAGAGCGAAATTTGCTATTTTTTCTGCAACCGAAAGAATTAACTAAAATAAATATACGAAGTGACCACCGATGTGACTTAATTCACAGATAATTATAATACCTTTATTATAATATTATGAGTAAGTACATAAATGCAAAACTTCAGACTACTTTACTTTATCACAATTTGTGTTGACATGCATCATGATATCAGATACTACAGGCGCGAATTCAATACCTTTCCGAAACGTGGATGCCGTGTCATAATGTATGCAATGCAACAAATATTCCACCTGCATTTTCAATATGAATACAATCACAGAGTGACCCATTTGTCTATTCTATTAAATCGATGAATTCAGTTGGACAAGGTGTCAGCCCTAATAGCAAATGCCGCGCCAGTGCCAGGTATAGAAAAAATAACAGGAAAATGTTATCAACAATATTAGCGATTATTTATTTCTCCATATTCCACTGTGTTTGGCTCGGTAATCAAATGAAAATAAACAATATCGTTGTGTGAGACACAAAAATATTGCTGGCCGTGATTATTCAAAAACGAGTTATCCAATCAATCAGATCACGAGAATAAAGAATGAAACACAGATCAAGCAAGTATGTGAATTTTGATGACTTTTCTGACCAAAATAAAAATACTTTACTATAGTATGGATATTTATATCTCTAGCATGGGTATAAATGGCCAAATCTCCTGAAATTGGAAACAAATCAGGCAGTGGCGTAACTTCATATTTTGAGCCCCCCCGCCAAAATCATTTAGGGCCCCCTCGAGAAAAACCTTTCCAGTCAGAAGCCGCTTCTTTCCATGAACTTTTAGTTATATTGAATAACCAACAAGCTCCACAATACGCTTTATTTTCTTTTGGTGAATAATAAAACCCTTTTCTTGGAATAATTTGCCCAGCATGACTTTTCTGTGAATATTCAAAATTAGAGAAACTCCTCTTCTGGAAAATTTATATCTGGTTGAGACGGGCCATTACGAGCAATAAACATTTTTATCGTGTTGCTCAATTCTCGGCCACTGAAATTGCCTTTATCACAAGGAAATGATTCTGTGATTAATACATCCAGTGATGAATCATCTGACTCAGTTCCATCTCCAGGAGTTCTGGCATTTAAGTCAGTTATGGGCTCCTCGTAGATTTCAGATATAATAGTTTTTATATTCACACCATCATCTGTACCTAGAGTTTCGAATGCAGTAGTAGCAGAAGTCTCGTCATTTGCTGAGTAAAAATTTGATATTTTCTCTATATACCTTTATTTCTCTCCTCCAAAAACTTTATTCAATACAAATTGTCACTGAGAAACTAGTGAATTTTTCTTTTTGGCTCTCTGATAGGAAAATTCTTAAAACGCAGTGGCATTTTGGGGCAAATCATCTGATTTGTACTTACTACACGTATATTGAAATAATATTCATTTTTTTATTTCATAGAAACGAGGAGAAAAAATCCCAAAAAAAACTGGAATAATAGTTTTTCTTACACAATAATTGCAGAGTCCACATCCATTCCTGTTTCAATCATGATACTGCTACTTCAAGTGTATCATCCGAAACAGTAGTAGTATTCGTAAAGAACGTGGTAATCTTGGAAATTTTACACTTATCATCTTTTAACTTTTGTTTCCTTCTTCTTTTTGAAGCACCACTAGTTAATTAGTGTTAATCAAGTTCTCCATTCAAAATAATTGGCTTGTATCGTTGATTTCACACATCACCCTGGACCTACACTGAAAAAAACATGCCTGCACTATTAGCAGAAATGGAAAAATTATTTCTGTGGCATATTCATAATTAAAGAATATTCATGTATCAACCAATTTGGCTGAGTCCTTGCTCTGGTTGGTGGACCCAGGGCCCCAGGGCCCCCTCCGAGGAACGGGCCCCCTGCAACCGCGGGGTTTGGCGGTATAGTAGTTACGCCACTGAAATCAGGTATGCGTCCCAACTCAAATGACCATCCTTAACAATGTTGATTATTCTTGAGTACGTCATTTTTTCTTCCTAGGAGCTTAAGTTGAACTTTAGCTCCTAGGAACTGAAAGTGTTGCCTACCAACATACCTGTTTGTCAGTGATAGAAACGTCAATTCAAGAGTCGATATTATTAAAATGGACGACTTTTGTTTCGGTTGCAGAACAACAGATTTTTGTACGCTGTTCGAATATGATTGAAACAAATTAGATGGAATTTGAAAAGCGTGAATTTTAGAGGATGACCTTCCTCCAGTAATCCAAGAATCCCGAAAGAAATGGTAGAAGGGTTGAAACCAACCTCACCCCCTGACATTTTTTTCAGAACATTCCTAGTGGTGTTAATAGGGCTCTCAAACTTTTTGAGCGAGAACATTTCGTATTCCGCATAGTTTCGAAGGAAAAAAATGTTTTCAAATAATGCTAACAGATATTTCTAGTAAAAGTTTGATAGAACTGTAATACAAAATTAGTTGGCAGTGGAAACGAAGGGATTCATATTCGTATTGATGGAAGTGGGCGTCATAATGAGCAAATGAATATAAATTTAAGAAAAAACGTTCTGCCTCTGTTGCACTGATATTGTTCGTAGTACGTCCATGTTATGTTGCAATTTTAATGAGAATATACAGTTGATGCAATATATTGCTATTGAAAGTAAAATGAAAGGGTCACTTTGTAATTCACAAATAATTTTTCAGTAGGTTACAATATATTGTGGCAATATTTTGTGATATTGTTCAGTGGGTTTGTTATTTGAAGAAATTGGGTCCAATCAACTTATTTTGACTTGTATTACACGTGATAGCTCTTCGTTCTAGCAACTTTGGGACATCCTGTATATTGATAATTCCGAGTATAAATAGTATTCGATGCAATCATTCGTTATTAAAATACTTTTCTCAATATCTAAAATCGGCACCTTAGAGAAACGCCAGCCTTTGATGCCGTCGTACACCTTCTCAATCTCACATGGCGATAGTGATATTTGTTTGATATATTCCTCTTTATTCACCTTCAACCAATGAAATAATAACCACATATTTCGACGCTGCCAAATTTATAACTACTAATTACCTTATGAGATTCAATATGACCAAGAAGAACAGTATTCACATTCATGAGAGACAAAAGGTTCCACCTGGTCCCTGATAATCACTGATTGGATACTTGATATCTTTCAAGATGCTTTAGTGCCAATAAAAATATCCTTATATTCCTAATAATGATCGAGATTTCATTTAAACCCAAACTATTGTTACGATTTTACTCTGGGTCCGTAATAATTTGACACTCGGTAGAACACTTAAAACGATTTATTCTGAACACTACTATACAATAATAACAATACTCGTACTAA